ATCGATACTATTAGAGATAAAATTGTAACCATGCAGCCGTTAGCTACAGTATCGCATCAGATAGTGTGAGTGGAATTGTTCCTCAGGCGATCTATAGGAGAGGAAGATTTGTATAAACTTGTTAAATCATCTAAACCAACAACATGTATGTTAGACCCTATTCCATCTAAGCTCCTAAAAGAAGTGCTTCCAGAAGTCATAGATCCTCTTCTGACTATTATTAATTCATCATTGTCATTAGGATATGTCCCAAAAACCTTCAAACTGGCTGTTATTAAGCCTCTCATCAAAAAAACACAACTTGACCCCAAAGAACTAGTTAATTACAGACCGATCTCGAATCTCCCTTTTCTGTCCAAGATACTAGTAAAATAGTATCCTCACAATTATATTCCTTCTTAGAGAAAAATGGTATCTGTGCCTCTGCACAATGTGACTTTGCTGCAGCCTGGAATTTAACTGCTGGTTTCGTCTGACCAGGGGAGAACTGGCCCCCCGACTGAGCCTGGTTTCTCCCAAGGATTTTTCTCCATTCTGTCACCGATGGAGTTTTGGTTCCTTGCCGCTGTTGCCTCTGGCTTGTTTAGTTGGGGACACTTCATTTCCAGCGATATCGTTGACTTGATTGCACAGAGACTATTTAAACTGAACTGAGCTGGATGATGTCATCACTGAATTCAATTACGAACTGCCTTTAACTGAAAAATTAGTGTTTACTATTGTCACTTTGCATTATTGACACACAATTTTACTAATTAATGCTGTACAGTTGCTTTGACACAATCTGTATTGTTAAAAGCGCTATACATAAATAAAGGTGACTTGACTTGACTTGACTGTAAATTTTAACTGTTCTGTAAAACCTAAAATGTTGCTACCATATTTTTAACCATAACCATAGCGGCCGGTATTTTACCATAAATTTAACAGATTTTTTTTACAGTGCAGATTAGACTTTGCCAAAGAAAAGCACCTAAAAAAGCCAGATCACTTCTGGAAAAGCATTCTTTGGATGGCTGAAATTAAGATCAAGCTGTACCAGAATGACAGGAAGAAAAAAGTATGGAGAAGGCTTGGAAAAGCTCATGATCCAAAGCATACAACATAATTTGTGAAACATGGTGGAGCAGTGTGATGGCATGAGCATGCATGGCTTCCAGTGGCAATGTTTATTGATGATGTGACAGAATATTAAGATTTAAGCTGGTTTATTGAATAGATTATTTATGTTTTTACATAAACATAATTAACAATTATTTGTGGTTTATTTTTTTTCTGTTAACAAAAAGTGTGACTTGTACTGTGTTATGTTTGTCATTTTCTAGCAATATCAAATATCAAACCCAGAGTGTGTTATAGAGAGCTCTCCATGCCACCTGTAGGTCATGGTTATTTTTAGTTATGACAGCCTATCACATTCCTGGCTGCAGCCAATAATCATATGCTATGACCAATCAGTGCTCGTATCGCTTCCTTGATTCTCCCTAGTAACAACAAAGAATTGACCAATCAATTTCAAGAGCCCCCGGAGACTTGCGGATTATGGCTGGAGAAGATGATAACATTCATTGATTAACTTCTGACCAGCATTTGCAAAGCAAGTCAGTCTTTTGTCAAAAAAGTGCCAACTATATTTAGTTGTTTTAAATGAATAAATATATAAAGTTGTTTTGAATTAATAACCTGTAGCTCAGACAAGCTAATAATTCAGGTAATTAATAGAAACTATTATTAAAAAATAAAGTATTTTATATTTTTATAGATTAGCCGACCAAGCAGAATATAAAGTATATAATGTTACAGTTTGCCAGCTGCAACTTGCAGTTAAAAATTAGTCTTCAAAAGGAAATCCCATAGAATAAAAATTTGTCTTCAAAAGGAGATCACATCGAATAGACTAAACTTTCCCTTATCCATTACCCATTACTTACTTGAAAAATCCTCTGTCTCAGGTGGGACAAAAGTTGTATTTAATGGTATAATAATTACTGCAAAAAAAGCCTCTTACCCTGGGATAATTCTGATATGTTAGCCAACATTTTGAGCCTGTTGGAGAAATATAGGCTACACAAACAAAACATAATATAAAATCAACATTACAAGGTGATCATGAGTAAATAGAGTAATGTAATATAGACAGCGGCATTAACTAATGTGATACCAAATGTGTTTGTCTGTTTCTCTATAGTCGTTATATCTTAATTTTTTAATTTAGATGGAACCTCGCTTCAAGAGATGGTAGACTGAATCTGACAGATACAGTGGAAGTGGCAAAGGTGAAGACAGCCAACAAAGGAAAGCCGTACACAAGACCCCTGTCCCCGGAGGGAGTGCTGGACAAGGCCAAGAAAAGCTTAAGTCAGCACCTTGGAGATCTAGCTAACAGAAAGCAAGTTTCTTTGAAATCCAGTTTGGTGTATTTCGCGGGCAAACATTCAGGTGGGTGGCTGAACATGTCCTGAGATATGCTGCTTACCTGGTGGCATCTATGAAGAGGGACCCCACAGGAGGCAGCAAAGACTCCCAAGAACATGCCCACAACAAGGGGAGTTTCAGGGAGTATATTGACCTCTTTCCTTCTGGCAGAATTGCCATTGGCATGAAGGAAGAGCAATATGCTGGGAAAGTACACTGTCCTCACCCATACTTCCACTGCCTCTCTCCGCTCCCTCTTGGTTAGGAAGTTGCCTAACCAAAAAAAAAAAAAAAATCTTACTAAGACCTTAGAAAGGCTGGTGCAGTTTTACCCAAAATATAGTACAAATAGTATGATGCATTTCACAATCACATAGTGTACATCATTGTTTGAGGAATAAAGAGCAGATCATTTTGATACCAAGAACGAAACATCTAGAAGATCTTAAAGCAGAGATAAACTCATATACCTGAATATAAGCATTGAGAGTCTAACTAATACAAATAAAGAGTTGTAACTAGGCTAATATAATAGGGAAACATACAAACAACACATGCATATACCAGATACAATTTTAACTGATTAATTATAGTCTCAATAAAGAAAATGTCTTTATGTGTGTGTGTTATGTGTATTGCCAGCATGGGGGGTAGTTCGCTGGCCATCAGACATCTGGTGCCAGGTACTGTGGATGACTGTTTCTTAGGGCATTGGAATGTGTTTGAAGTTGATGGGGATTCCAGAGAGTTGATCTGGTTAGCCTCTAAATGATAATGGGGGGAACCATTGGCAATTTAGCACCCATATAAATGTAGAATCTGGGGCCAGGACTGTAATTTATATGCAAATGTCAAAAGACTGAAAGGGTCTCTGAGACGTAAAGCCCCCATGACCCTCAATGATCCTAAGCAAACATTACATAAGCAAACATTTTTTTGTATAACACTTTTTTGGTTTGTTTAGTATTTATTGCTGTTCAGCAGTCATGTTTATGTTTTTCCTGTGTTTTGTTTTGTAGCTGTGGCCCAGACACATGCGCTGCCCTTGAAAATATTCAAGTTTCCTTTGCAGGGATAATAAAGTAAAGTGAAGCAATGTGAATTTGCATTTATTTATTTATGTGTTTTTTATGTTTTTGTTTTTGTCTATCTTCCAGCTGGATGGATGCACACCCTGCCTGAAGTGGACCAGAGGTGGATGTCCAAGGCCCTGTTCAGGTGGACAGCACAGGGGCATCCTGAGCTGATCTTTAGCAGGGTCGACAAACTTTGGTGGTATCCTCCACAGGTGTCACTGAAGACCAGTAATTCTCCTTCCTTGGATAATTACTTTGGCCATCCCCTGCTGCTCTGGATGCTACGAAAAATGTGGCAAGTGAAGCTGACCTGTCCGCATCCAGACTGTCAGAAATACCTTCTGACCTCAGCAGGCTTGCATCAAAAGATCAGGCAGGTGGTTGCCTTGGGTAAGATGTACTTTGTGGCATCTGAATACCTGGCCTGCTGAAGATGTAAGAGGAAGGTCATCAGCTGAAGCCATGATATCGTCTCCCAGCTCGACATTGGCCACAGGTTGCAGTTCCCATGCATTCTTACATCAAAACTTGCATGTGACTTTGAGATAGTAAGTTTGATGTGTCAGCGAGGGCTGGGAAACAGCAGCAGCCAGATCAAGTGCAAGCTGCAGGAACGTCATGCTGAGGTCTGGCTGCAAAAGACAGTCCAGTATCTGACAGATTGCAAGGGGATTGCTAGTGCTGTCACGTCGACCCTGATCCTGCCTGTGACATTTGAACCTGCTCCTTCAATGCCTTCTGTCCCTAAGCACCGGTGGCTGATGCAGGTGTATGCCCAGGATGTCCTGCAAAGGATGGATGAGATCAAGGCCACTATCATATCACAATATGGTTGGATCTTAAAAATGGATTCTACTAAAAAGTGACCAGAAAACTAGCAGGACGCAGCTATGGCACTGTTACTTGGGCAACCAATGTGGGCAATGAGCATGGAGAGGTGATCATGTCTGTGCTCACAGCCAGTGAAGGTTTTGGTCTTGGGCCAATGATTGAAGGCCTCATCAAGCGATACAGAGTGGCTGGGGTGGCTCCTCCTGAAGTACTGTATGTCGACCAAGACTGCTATGTCAACACACTTCTGAGGAGGATGTTTGAAGAGTGGGAGAAAATGACAATCCGGTTAGAAGTATTGCACTTCATGCGGAGGTTTGCTGTGGGTTGCACCACCAACTCTCATCTGTTGTATGCCACATTTATGAGTCGCCCCAGCCACTGTATTTTCATGTGAGACCAGGTCGACCAGAGCTAGAAGCTGGCCAGAAACCATCATCCGAGGCTGATGTGCTGTGCTATATCAGCCATAGCGAGCTAGCCTTACATTGCAGGAGAGCCACTTGTGTGAGCAAGGAGACCCTGGCGATGATTGAGAGCCATATTCAGGCCTTTGATGGAGATGCTGGTCGTGACACTCTGGGAGTCTCACTAATAAACTCAGCTCGGATTAGAGAGATCTTGAAGTCCCAGCGGAAGCATGTGGCCTGCATCCAGGATCCTCTAGGTGTGCAGCTCTACATGCAGACAGGCACTGTAGTGAAGGGAGGGCACCATCAACCTACCACTGTGCCAGAGGTTCCACTTCGCTTGAGTCATTTCACATGCACCTTAACAAATTCATCCCAGGTAAATAAGTGATTTAATTGAATTATTAAAACAAGATTTGATTCAATTATATATTTAAATAATTATGAGAATTGCAAGAACAGCTATTTGTGTATTTATATGAAATTTTTGTGTGGTCTTTTTTTTCTTTGTTGAATTTACAGGTATGCTGGCAAGTGACACCTTCTTCCAGGCGCATCTTTTGGATGGACTTACAAGGTGGAATGAGGACCGGGCTGTGGCAGCAACAACTGATGAGCAACAGCCACATTCCTACAATCATCTTCTGCGTCTGCGTCAATGTTTTAATATTTTAAAGGTGAGCTTACTGGAGTGAAATATCTTTACCAGCAAACTGATAAAGTTCTGCAGGTCTACAAGTTACTCTCCTGGAGCACATGGCTGTGAGTTTTACCAAAGTATTCAGAGAGGTTTCGGTATTTGTTGTTACACTAACTCTTAATGTATATTTGTCATATTGAAAGACATAAATACAAATTTAAACGAAATATTTACCTTTTTCATGTAGTCCCAGTGGACCAATTATCCACAGAAACTGATCTTCCAACATCCGAAGAGAGCACTTCACATGATGTAAGAGCCCAGTTTCTTTTTTAATGTACATTTACATGTGCATAAACCAAATCTGGGATTTGTTGGCTGTGCTTTCATGTGAATATTTGTATTCATTGCTGCTATCAAAAGTTCCTAAATTATCTTTTATTTTAGGATTATGTTGGACCTGATAATATTGAGGGGTATGGAGCCGTGCAGGACTTGGCAGAGCTTTTGGTTAGCCTCAGAGACCACCGTCTGGCCTTGACTGGAGAAGAGTGCATCAAGATCATCACGCTATGGCAGGCATTGGGGGAGTATGACAAGAATAAGACCATTTACCCACCATGTCACCAAACCACCCTAAAACAGGGACAATTCAGGGCCATTAAGAAGATTGTGGCACCAGGTGTGGAGAGCACCAAAAGGTATGTAAAATGTAGGGTCTTGATTGTCTAAAAATATGTTTTAAAATATGTATAATATAACTGAAACTGGTTGAAATATCACCTCCAGCTTTATTTGTTTAGTAAGGATTTCTAGTAAAATGAGTAAAACCTGAGGCCTTCATGACTAGCTTATCTTCCTGCAGCCTGTTAAGTTCAAACTTAGCCTAGTTAAAACGTAAATTATTAGTTGTGATTAACGTTTAATGCTGACTTTGTTTAATGTTGCTAAGTAAGTTACGTTGCTATGGACACAGTTCCAACCATACATCTGACTATTTTATTTAGCAGAAGAAAGACAATCATTTCTTAATCAATAAAATCATTTTGGATCAATATTTTGTGTCACATTATTATTATTATTTGTCTTTTTCTGTCTTTTAGTAAGTAGCTGTGTAATAAGTGGGTTAATGTGCAGTCATTATTGTGAAAAAAACCCAGACAGGCTGACTAACGACACCGTATAAAGCTGTAATAATGCCACAACACAGTAACCCAGAACAGACCTAATTTATTGATATGATATTTTGACATCGACCTAAAAAACAAACAAGACAACATGACTATGCACAGATATTAAAAATTAACATCTAGACAACACAAAGCAAAACAGACAGAATACATAAAAACTAAAATAACAGAGTAAGAATCACACATTTAGAACAATCTTACATTAATATGTATTCTGCTGTAATTTGCAGGTGTTTCGTTGGGGCTCATAGTCCTGCACAGTGGCCTGACTGCAACTGAGTAGTGGAGAACATCTTCACAAGGCTCTGTGCTCTCTACCCAAACACGGTGCACTGTGACGGAGTGAGGGTGTCCTGCTTCACAATGGTAGCACATGCTTACAAGCACATCTGAGAGTGCATGCTCACCAATGCTAAGGTGATGAGCAAGACCACCATCCATCTCCCAGAAGTGAACGCTGCAACAGTCACACAATGGTGAGTAAATAAGCATTGTTACAGCTAAACCTAAACTTAAAGCAGCTGAGGGCTACACAGAGAGTTCAAGTAATTGATGTGGTTGACTTAATGTAACCATGGCTGCTTTGACAGGTCTAGAAGCAAATCATCGAGAGTCCAACTTCTGTTTTCTTCGCCATTATGAAAGAAAAGATTTATTGCTCACGACTGTCAGGGAGTCACAGTCACCACCCCCAATGCTCACCAGATCCCAATCACCCAATTACTAGTTGCCCGCACCGGTCACAGCTCATCACGCTCCCTATATCCTTGCACTCTCCCTTCTGTCATATTGTCGCGTCTACAGTTTGTGATGCAATACTTACCTGACTCCTTACCTGTGTTTACTCACCTCGAGGATACTCCACCGCTCTGTTCCCAGCATTACCATCTGCTCCACTGCTCCACTGCTCCTCTGGATCACCTGCAAGAAAAGGACACCAATCACTATACAGCTAAGAGCTCTGAACACTTTTGATTCCAGGATAACTCACCATTGGACTGTTGCACTGATCACTCTTGCCGTTGCTTTCAATAAACCTGCTGTTGTGTATTACTTACCTCTGCCTCTCCTGTGTGATTGCTGACAACGACATGGTCTTCAACAGACTGCAAGAATCCATAATCCATAATAATGTAATGGATAATCTCAATGAAGTAGTCATTTTACAAAAGCAATACATGAGATGAGGGTGTGATCAATTGCTATGTGATCTCAGCTGTGTCATGTTGCTGCATCATAGTCGTGATCAAGTAGTAGTTGATCACACTATCTTTTGTATTATTGCTTAAATGTTTATTAATAGCGGTTGTTTTATGTTTTCCCAGGATCAGCAGGTGTTGCAAGTCACAGGAACAGGAGATTTTAATGCAGGGTATCCAAGCCCCAGACGCACCCATGGCAGGACCTGAGAAGCTTCCTGCGGCTATGCAGAAAGAACCAACTCTCTATTCATACAATTTGGCTGAGCCTTTTTATGCTGCCACCAAATACTGCTGGGGAGGTTTCAACCTCAGGCCATCTCCCAGGCTCCACCAACACATCAAGCACTACCCATCTCTCTCCCTTTCATTTTACCATCTGTACTGCTTCCTACAGTGATAGACGCATGCGTGCCAGCCTCTAGAGTGCCTGGTACCTCACAGGTGATGTTCTTCAGCCTCCCATTACCTTCATCTATGCCACCATCAGCTCAGACACAGACATCCAGTCAAGCTGTTCCACTCAGCAATACAGAAAGAGAAAACAGGAGAGGGAGCACACTGGAACTGTCACAAGAAAATATGTGAGGAAGACAGCATTCTTTGCAGAAAGTGTAACAGAGAGAAAGCCACATCTTCTGTACTTTGGCAACTGTGACTCAATCATATGGTGAATGGAGGGCTGGGCTGGAGGAAACCTCCAGCTTCTTAAAATTGCTCTTTCAGCACATGTTATTTTTATTTATTTATTTGGTTAATGTTTGCTTTATAGAGCAATTTACAAGTCTCTAAAATGTATGTATAATAACTATGTGTGTGATGCATCTTGGTTCTTTTTTTTAAACGTTTTTTTTTCTTCACTGCTTGTTTCCTTTGCTGCATGCCTCTGTTGGGAAAATATTTCAGGTATAAATGTAATATATATACACACACACACACACATATATATATATATATATAGGTAAGTTTACCTTGTTATTTATGTGTGACATTTTTTTTAGGCTGATATGTCAAAATTGCACTACTGTGGTAAATGTTTGTTTTGCTTTACTACTTATTTTAAATTGATGTGTCAAAAAATGGCACTGCTGTTCTAAATGTTTTATTGACTTTAAAAATCTATGCAAATAAAAATGGTTGTTAATCTTTGCCCTCACGTTATTTTTATTGTGCCTATTTGTATTCTCACAATATTTGTAGCTGTAAACACCTTTTTAAAAAAAGTCTGCTAGTAACTCTACCACAACTGATCTAGAAACAACAACCCTCTCTCATATCTCTCTTTAGGTGATAGGCGAGTCCTTCCCAGCTACTTTGGTTCTTCATCTGTCTGTTGGTTAAGATAGGCAAAAAGTGTGACATTCTCTTTTCCTTTGGCAAACACGGTGTGTTCAGTGTGGATGGCCAAGGTTAGGAGTTCTTTGAGACTTGAACCCCAGTCTTTACTGGCTAGTTAATCCTTCACATCCTCAGAAAGGCCACAGTAGAAGGTTGAGACAAGAGCTTCTGAATCCCATCTACTCTCAGATGCCAGAGTAACTTCAGAATTCAAAAGGAAAGGATGTGACGTATGACCAAGTATGGTTCAAACTGCGTTACAATGTCCTTCAAGGCAAGTATTCCACAAAAAGCACAAAGGAAAAAAATGTATACTCCACAAGAAGATGTCCCCATAGTCCATAAAGAAAAACACAGCCCATGCGTTAGATAATCCTCTTAATCCGGTCGTGGGAAACGAGAAAGAGACTTGTGAGCGACGCCGCTCTTGAATGGCAGAATGCTGATATACAATAAAGAATAACAAACGCTACCAATTTCCCGCTTGGATGACGACACATCCCGTGACAACGGGGCGTGAGTTGAATCTTGCGATACAAGAGTTCTGGGTAAAACCCAGCAATACAAAGCTGTGTTGTGTGTATTTTATTATTAAAGTTTGTTTAAATGTTCGCCGGTTCCTGCCTCCTTCTTCCCGACCTACAAACTGCGTTACAATGTCCTTCAAGGCAAGTATTCCACAAAAAGCACAAAGGAAAAAAATGTATACTCCACAAGAAGATGTCCCCATAGTCCATAAAGAAAAACACAGCCCATGCGTTAGATAATCCTCTTAATCCGGTCGTGGGAAACGAGAAAGAGACTTGTGAGCGACGCCGCTCTTGAATGGCAGAATGCTGATATACAATAAAGAATAACAAACGCTACCAATTTCCCGCTTGGATGACGACACATCCCGTGACAACGGGGCGTGAGTTGAATCTCGCGATACAAGAGTTCTGGGTAAAACCCAGCAATACAAAGGGGAGAAAACAATACACAGGGCAAAGCAATACACATATAATTGACAGCACATTTCTATTGGTAACTGCAGCTATAAATAAACTTCCCCTTATGTGGCAGCACTACACATAAGAAAACAGAGTCAGACAGCGTATGCGTCCCCTTTTATAGCTGTGTCAAATGTTGCCTTACACACTGTCCCATTTTCTGTAATTTTTCATTAAATATGTAAAAGGAGAGACTTCTGTGTAAAACTTTCACCTCAGGATAGTGGTGGTAGTCATCCATGACTAATGATGTTATAACTCAGCCAATGTTACATTCTTATCAGGGCTCCCAGATGCATGTATTGACTTAAGAACAAAGAACACAAAGCCTCCTTTAAGATCCACCGGAGGTGTAACAATAGGTTGTCATACAGTTTTTCTGACAAACAGTTGTTTCAGGCCTGTAATGGTTCATTAAGGTAAGAGAGACTTATAATTATTTAGACATACTAATAATCCTGGGTTTACCAGAATAAGATCTGGCCCACACAGATACACAACCACACTTTTAAATATACACTGAAAATACAAGTCCATTACTGAAAAGTTACTGTACTGAAGTTCCACAGGTAACTGATATCAAGATATGTGTTTCCTTGTCTGTTCCACAATTTCTGCTGATAATTCCATGTGTTGTTACTTTGATTAGGCTTTTCCTCTCCACATCTTTTCGTTTCTTATTTTGCATTTTTCTAAAGAGTTTACCAAGGTTTACCTCAGTATTCAGTTCATGTTTACTGCGACTGTGGGCTGAAAAGGTCAGGACCCTCTCGCATTTGCTAGTCGTGACATCACCATGATGACCAGCATGCCAATGAGGCCAAATGCTGCGTGTTTCTTATTAGCATACTTGACGATGGCACCTCAGAGGCACGCTGTCCGAGGCTGTACCCTCATTTACATAGCATATGTCAACACACGAGCCCTGCTGCAAAACTTTGAACCCTCTAAAGAGGATTCCTGCAGCTGTGCTAACAAACCTTGAGTTTGCAAACTGAACCAATAACTTAGTGTTGTAGCCTACATTCATTACAGAAATATAGAGAATCTTAGCACTTAATAGTTTTCCAGAAATAGCTATGTGACAGATAACAGTACTTTGTAACACAGCTATGCGGTTCCTTAATGGGCATTTGCAGAGAAGCCTGTGATGCAGGGCAGAGTGGAGAAAGAGGAAACATGTGCCCACCTCCTGTATCCAGGTGACTGAATTTTTTGTCATGTGATCATTTAAGTAGGACATTTTTATCACGTTTGTTTGGCTGTGAAGATGAGACACACATAGATTTTACACATTCAAATAAGTCTGCTGGCACATGACACATGTTGGAGTACATCCAGTGTATAAATACATATGATGTGATTAGCACAATATCAGACCTGAAGTACTAAGTCATTTTGGTTGACATGTCTGACGTTTATTTACAAGTATGCTTTTATCCAGAGTGACTTACAAAAGAGAAACAAAGTGATTCTCGTTAAGAGCCAGTAACTGTTGTAGTACACAAATCCTCAGTGTTAAACTAAATGGATTGCTTTATATGATTAAAACTAAAAAAAAAAAACATTTGAGGAGAGCATGACATTGTTATTTCATTATAGGTAATAGAGAGATCATACAATAAGGAATAATTTGTGGAATTCTTTTTATTGTGTAGAATTCGTGATCGCAATTTCTTTCTGTCCAAAACAGAAATGTCTTCCTGTCCAATCAACAGCATGTGACCTTGTAAACACACAGTACTAAAGCTAA